ATCCCATTCCCCACTCCACCCCCACAAAATGTCTCTGGTATATAGCTGTTCATCATTATCATTATTTTCTCTCCTGTTCCATTATATTCCTGCTATGAGAGAAACCATCCAGAATTTTCCTTTTCTTTCTGGCTTTTTTCACTAAGCATGATCTTTTCCAGCTCCTTGAAGGAGCCAATGACAGATCGTGTTGGGGGTTCTGGCAACTTGAGAACACAATTGAGTTTCTGGCAACTTTGAATTTCTGAAAAATGTGGAAGAGTTCTTCCCCACTAATTCTTTTTTTGCCCATTATTTCCACTGACTAGGTTATAGTCTTATATAAAATTGTAGCTTATACGTCAGTGATGTATTACCTACTTGTCTTCATTCACTAGACACCTAATCAGAATCTTCTAATGTCTTCTTTGGTCACGGTTATCACATTTCAGTGAAGGCTCCCTATCTGTGGTCTATTTCAGATCTTTTGTTAATATGAGGCAGTGCCTGGCCTGCCCTCTGCTTCTGCCAATTTCCAAGTCTTTGGAATGAATTATTGCTTGTTCTAGCATCACGCTGGCTTCTTTTATTGTTTGATGCTTCTCCCAAGAGATTTTGACATGTTATTTATCCTTCATCCTCCTCTTGAAAATGTCACAGTAAGGAATTCATCTAATATTTTCCAGCTCTCTTCTTTTTCTGTCAGTAATCCAGTGTAATGTTTCTTAGAGAAGATTGTTTCATTTCCTTCACTTGTTTTCCTGATACCTTTTAATTATTTCTCAACTTTAAAAATTATTTGGCAGCTTCTAATATTTAGTAATTAATACTCTCATCAAAGAGGTTACTTTATTCTTTTGATCATTTAGATTTCTGTGGTATTGATCCTGCAGGTCAATGATGGAGAAGAATCAATAACTTGAAGCAGTGTGTCTGAAGAGCAGGTTTAACAATGGAACAATCCTCTTGGCTTATTTCTGTTCTGCAGAAAAAGAAGCAAAAATTATAAACCTTACATTTTATGTTACAGAGAACCTCTTTAATATTGGTGTAGAAGGGAAATAAAATAGCTTTTAAGCTCCCTATTTCCCATAGATAATGGGCACTCTCTATATTATAAAGGATACACTCTACATTTCTGCGTGCCTCCCCTGGACTATGTGGAGTTAGCAGCCTATGGTAGTTCATCATGATCAGTCAATCAATATGTGTTGCATATCATGTCATGAAAGAAACTGTACCAGATAGTACTGGGGATATAGAGGGCTCAGGGTATCTGATGTTTAAGCAACATGGCTGTTTTGTGTACCTTAACCCAAAATGTAGCACAGGACGGATGTTGTTGAGTAAGAATGGAGTGACTCTGCAAATGATGTATGCTGAAGTACCTTGGGAATTAAGATGCATGTAGGAAAAAGAAAAAAAAAAGACATTTGTGAAGGGTCATTTTGAATAAACTGTTTTCCTAAAACATTGTCAATAGTACATGAAACCAATTTAAGGGAATAACTGATTTTAAAAGAATAGACAAAGTAAGTCAATAATTATTGAATGGATCACAGTAGCATGGGTGAATTAAATGTAACTCATGGGCCTGGTTGATCTCTGATATATCATGGGCTAGTAATTAGAAATTACTAAGATTAACAAGAAGGCTCACAGATTGCCTAGCTACCAAATTGTGTCTGCACATGTGGCTCAACAGGTTATATCAAAAGGTATTCTTTTTTTATTTTCAGCATGCACTCCTGGCTTTAAAGTTTATACTTGCATTTGCCATACCTGATAAGCCCCGGCATATCCAGATGAAACTGGCCAGGTTGGAATTTGAGTCTTTGGAGGCGCTCAAGCAGCAGGTAAGAACAACTTCCCTGAAAATAAATGTATCTCTTTAGCAAATGCCAAGAGACCTCATTCATAATTCAGCAGACTCATTCAGTATTTCCTTCAGTCTTGAAGCTACCAGTTTAAATATATACAAAAAACAGCAATTTGGGGTGGCATAAAATAAAGCCAAAATTCTAGTAACATGAGCAACGCAGGTTTAAAGAATGAAATTAAGTGAAACAAAAATATTCAAGCTGTGTTAAATAAAGAATAGGGCTTGCATTCAGCAGAAGAATAGACAGAGGTTTCCAAGAATCATTGCTTAAGTCTGTCTCCCACAGAGAAACATTACTAGAGAAGTGAGTAAATAGAATCCTGAATACTGTCTTGCAGAGAGTGGGAGAGAATGTGAGAAAGTGTGGGCAGAAGCAACAAAAAAAGGCCATCCAAGTGGGAACCACTTCCCAGTGACTTCCAGAGAGCTAGTAGGTGAGAGAGATTCCCAGCATACCTACAACTAGCTTTCTCCATGATCCAAAGGAATTGAACGAGCAGGTGAACCTGTTGTTATCATCTCAGGACCCATCTCTGGGTCTAGGACCTTTCTGACCTCATGAACCTTTAGTGGTCCAAGCCACCTTTTAGAGGAGTATTTCCTCTTACATTTGGGGAATTGGAAGAGAAAAATGACCTGTGTCGCCTTGGCACAGGACAAGGTCACTGAGCATTTACGGCAACATCAGGAACCCCATTTTCTCCACTGGCACTCTGCATTGTGTAGAAATGCTAACCAATGCACTTGTCCAAGGGGAAAGAATAAAAAGTTCAAGAAGCCGGGAGAGACAAATTTATCATTACTTGAAGATTATATATCTGTAAACTTCAAGATAAATTATTAGAAGCAACAAGAAATTTGGTGAGGAGGAAGCTTACGAAGTTTTGAGAACTGTTTCCTTAAACAAGAAATAATAGCAGTTTGAACTAGTATTGAAGAAAAATTGTCATTTACAGAAGAGACCAAAATTTAAAACCTGTAGGTGGTAACTGAGGAAAGCAATATGAATAAGTTACATGATGAATATTTTTAAGACTTTAGTGGATCAAGAAAGTCAATTTTCTGAAAATGTGCCCCCAATTGAAACAAACAGCAAGGGAAGGGAGTGGGATGGAAAGATGAGACTGGCTCTGCCAGTTATTAAAATATATGCATAGTTACAGTAATTCACTTTTAATTAGGGCAGAAATGGACAGACCAGTGGAGTAGAGCAGAGTCCTAAATGGGCCCAAATAAAGCAGGGGCTTTCTGGAAATAGTGACATTTCATGTTCATGGGGAAATGGGGATGGATTGTTTGTTACAATTTGATGACAGAGTTATTTGGGGGAATTATTTCACCTTATTCTACCTACTTCCACACATACTCCCTCCCCTGCTAAATTCAGCTGGTTGAGAGGTTTCGATGTAAAAAAACAAACAAACAACATAAAAACTTGAACCATAAAATGTATATTAAAAAGCCTGGGGGTCTATCTTATAGTGACATACCTTGATAATCAGGATCCAAAATACAAAAATTATAAAGTTAAAATGTAAAATTTCTATAGGACAAAAAATAGGGAAGCTCAAAAAGATAAATTGGGCCAACTGGAGAATTACTGACAACACATGAAAAGTGTTTAGTATCTTTAGCTTAAAACAATTTTCTATACATTTATAAGAAAAGACAACCCTGTAATCAAGATAACATGTAAAGAGATGCCCATCCTCACTAAAGTTAAAGAAATGTAGATCCAAGCAACAGTGAAACATCACGCTTATTGGTGAATGTCAATTGATAAGCGGTCCTCATGGGCTGTGAGAGAGGACACATGTATACTCTTCCCAGAAGTGTCAGTTGGTGTAAATGTAAATGTAAATGAGTTTCTAGGATGTAAATGAGTCAAAATTTAAATTGCCATCCAACCCACAGTCATTCTTTGAGGGTAACAGTTGTACCTGTGGAGTAGACGAAAACAATGTGATTGCCACAGCTTCAGCACTAAACCCTGGGACAGCTGCATTCCTCAGTAGACTATGGTTAAATCCATTATTGTATATTCACGTGATAAAATTCTATGAATCCACATTTTTAAAAACAGTCTGTCTCTGTTGTGTGTTGTGTGTGTGTTTGGTGGCTACTGAGTGAAAAAAGAAAGATACAGAAAAATCTTTTGAGTCAAATTTTTGAGTGAGAAAGGAGAGGAGGCAGAGCAACACCCACCTGCGCCTTTGCTTCCCCCAAGGGCAGCTAGAGACCTTGCGGGGAGGCTGTGAGGGGAGGTTTTCCTTTCACAGGCAGTTTGGATTTTCTGGCCTTGTGCTTGTGTCAGCAGCAGTCTTCCGGGGAGATTATTTGGCATGTGCTACTCCTCTTTTCTGCGTATAGAACATTAATGTGGTAATTAGGGACTAAGTGCCTAACTCCTTTGATTTAAGTAATTCCTTTAATTTCCTCATACACATGGTAGGGACAACCTTCATACGTTCTTCCTCCTTCTGTTTACAATGTTTCTTTTTTATTTTTAGAAAAAAATATTTTCAACATCACATGAAATTTTTTAAGTAAAATTTATTTTAGCCTACTATGAATTTCATACATGAAATTTGAGACCATAAATCAAGTGTGGAAACCAAGATGCCTTGTGTGACAAAGTGGCATTTGTTTGTAAGTTCCTCAGTAAACCGGTGGCAAGACCAGAAGCAGAGCAAGCCTGCATGCTATTAACTTGGCACCCATTAACCGTTTGTATTATAGTGTTTACTCAGCATCTATCTGAAAAAGATGTGAGGGCAGAGCAGAGTGAAGCCCCAGGAATGGCAGTGCACAGCCCGACGCAGCTCAGCTTCCTTTGTGAGGCGTGGTGGGCGCGGGTCTGGGTCAGGAGGCTCAAGGTTCATTTTCTCCCCTTACACCTGCCCGCCTTCCTGAAACCCAACTCAAGAAGGACTGCCGGGGCCGGCTGCTCCGGTCCTTTTGCTACGGCTTTCCCCACGTTGCACACCTGTGAACCTCTGAACCGCCTTGAGCCTTCCCTGTGCCTTACTTATCCCCACATAAAAACCTAGGCAACAGATGTGTCAGACCTCCCAAGATGTGCTTGTAACAAAGACCTCCCAGCCTCCCACCTGCCCACCAATACTAAATTCACCCCTTAAAAAGGATGTTTCGAAAATAAGAAGTCTATGTTCAATAATTATTTATCCAAAGTATGTTATATTTACATATTTTTATCACATCTGCACCAATATTAATTGTAATGATCAATCAATCCTGAAGAAAAACTTAAATCCTTATATGAGATTTCAGTTTATGAGCATGTAATTATTGCAGCAACATACGTAAGAATGATTGCTACAGACTTTCAAGCAAAAACTGCATGTTCTTAGAATACAATTTTTGGGGAGAAACAGAAGGAAAATGTTTCAAAGAGGCAAAATAGGAAAGACAAAATTTTTACTATTAATATTCGTGTATTTTTTAAGTGGGTGATGGGGGTATCACATCACTTTGACATTTATATTTGGGAGCTGTTGCACATTTCAAAAAATGTCAGTAATTAGAGTATGTTGGAAAATATATTTTGCAACTAATTAGTTTGTGAGGAAAATATTAGGTGCCAACCTAAAATTATGGGGGTTATGTGTGTGAGATATAGCATCCTCAATTTTATAAGCAAAAATGTTTTTATTGTACAACATTATCTTTGCAAGACTTTTTGTAAGTCAAGTATATTTCTCCTGAGAAGTCACAGTCCGGGGCGGGCTGCCCCCCACTGCTGCAGACGCACCTCAACTCCAGGTCTTTCCTGGCACTTGAAATTTCATGTTGCCCTGTATGTGTCTGTGAAAGCAAAGCATCTGTCTTGATGATACATGTTACACTAGCATGTCTCTCCTTACTAAACACATTTGCCTAAAAGTCCTGCTGCAGAGTTGTTGTAGTTGATTTGGGGGGTGTTTTGGTTATTAGTGTCTGCTTTGGCTATGGCTGTATCATTTCTCGGGTCCTCTCTGCTCCTGGATATCCATATCATCAGGTGTAAGCTATGTGACAGTGAAGCAGAACTCCAGATCAAAAGTAAGAGATATTTATACTCATTGTCAATGAAAAATGAAGCACACATTTTTTTATGTTTTCTAATTCTTTTTTTAATTTATAAGTTTATTTTTACATATTTTTGTGCATTTTCCATCTCAGTTGTAATCCCCGTGGGCTTCCCATCACCAAATCACCCATGTGCCGTCACCATAGTCCAGTGCATTTCCCTCCCCACTGTTTTTGATCCCATTCTCCACTCCACCTCCACAAAATGACTCTGGTTTGTAGCTGTTCATCATTATCACTATTTTCTCTCCTGTTCCATTATATTCCTGCTATTAGAGAAACCATCCAGTATTTTTCCTTTTCTTTCTGATTTACTTCATGATCTTTTCCAGCTCCATCCATGTTGCTGCAAAAGACATGTGTTTCTTTTTCTTGGTCGCTGAGTAATATTCCATTGTGTATATGTATCACATCTTTTTAATCCAGTCATCCATTTTTGGGCATTTGGGCTGTTTCCATGTCTTTCCAATTGGAAACACAAAATTTTTATCTCATATTATTTAAAAAGGTGAGAAAGTCTATAAGATTTCTAGGCTCTTTGAGGATTTTTTTTTCTTCTTATCTCATAATGTTATTCTTTAACAAACATCTCTAAGAAATGATTTTTCTAAGAAAATCAACTGAACAACTGATTCTGCAGTTAATTTCTGTGAGGGACAGAGTTTCCGAGTTTCCAGCTCCCTATATTTATCAAGCGCCTTCAGCCAGGAGTACCAGCTTGTGCTGAAGGTGACTCACCTGCAGGTACAGCTGGAGTGACTGCGCCGTCCATGAGCAGGAGGCGTGCTGGGCCCAGTGGCCAGGTCTGGGCAGTGCGCCTCCCACCACCTGGCTCACTGAAACCACAATCCGAGGCTAAAAGGTCAGGGACAGAAGCTGGGCAGA